TTTATGCCAAAAGATCAATTTAGAAACATTTTAACTACCATTCTAAGTTACAATTATATAATATAACAGTTCACAAAGTAATAAACAAAATACCTGTAAAAGAAAGACAAGAAAACATGAAATTTCAAAGAAAATACAATAAAATGCAAAAAAGAAAATGATGTCTTCGTTCTTCTTAGGAAATACCTCATTATCTGAAAGCAAATAGTGCAAAATTAACAGGACTGACGGCAAATACTAATAGCTTTGGTAGAGAAGATCGGACAGATTTCACCAAGGCAAGCTGGGCAGTCGCCTATTGCTCCTATTTCAGATAACCCACTCTACCCTGTCTGAAAGGAAGTAACGCTAGAGTAGACTCGCGAAAAGTGTATAAGACACTTTTATGATCAACTAAATAGCTAAGCCCAAGGGAAGTCGTTCGAGGAGGCCCTCCCTAGTTCCACAAGGGTGAGAAGAGAAAAGAACACGATAACGAAAAGTTGAATCATGTAGAAGACGAACGGTACATGCGAAGCAAATTAGGAAGAATATGCAGTAAGCTAAGCGAAGAGGTAAGCAAGAGACATGTTAGACTACAACTACTAAACGAGTTCGTACTAGTACGACACTACTACTACATACAAAAAAAATAAAACATCTCCAATCAACAATTACTTCAAATAAAACAGACTACAAAAAATATGCAAAATAAAAAACTAATTCCAAAAAAATGGATTTAAAAAAGTAATTCCATTAGATAGGCCATGCAAGATAAACGAGTTTTTTAACTACGTGGTCTTCTTTGTCTTCCCCACTGTCGATCTGAAACAGATAGGGTGGTAACAGATTAATAAAGAGCAATTAAAATTAATTATATCGATAATCTCACCTTAATTAATTGTAGACTTTAATGTTCCAATGTTTGTAGGTGTGGAAATCAAACCAAATTCAGGAGGACCACAGAAGAAAGTTTGTTGTTCCAGTAAAATTTAAGTAAATCTTCACTTGCTACCACCCTGCTGAAATGGGACAGTCTTCATTCTCAATTGAAAACAGGCACTTTCATGCTTTCTTTAGGACTATAGGTACAGCTACTTTCTGGAGCGAAAGAGTATTGATACAATTAATGTTCAGTAATTACAATGTTCCTGTGAAATGAAATCTTAGGTGATTCAAGGTATTTAGATGTAATTAATTTAATACACTGTTAAAGGTACTATCAAATAAATATACTACTACATACGGATAGATATAACAGCTCACACTTGCTCACCTTTATTACTATAAGATGAAAACTTAACAGCTAGAACGCCATACCAGACAACTTGCTTTTTCAGTAGCATCAAAATACAAACTCAACTCAAAATCGTCAATCTGTAAATATAGAGAAGAAAAACGAATGATTTACATGCTTAAACAATTAAAACATGAAATACAATAAAAATATTCACCGAAAAGCAGTAATAATGTAAAATCTTAAAATGGGTATATGCAATCCCTTTTAGTACAAAATGAGAAGATGTACAACATCCATAAAACATCGGACAAATTGTATAAAATTCATAGATTCATATAATTATGCTGTAAACATAATACAGATAACTATAGAGTATATGTTGAAAAACGAAACACCAACATAACTATATTAATTATTTTAAGTTTAAATTTAACTTCAATATGGCTGTAATTTAAAATTTTAAATACAATAAATATTCTTATATGCTTCTATATGAAACACGTCGTTCAGTAACCATTTTACAAATTGAAAATCACATAAAATCTATTGATAATTCACAATTAAGAAAAATTAATAAAATTAATAAAGTAAAAAAGAAAATATTATGTGATATAAATAAAGTGAAACAAATAGAGTATGTACTGATATAGAGAATTATTCATTTAAGACTACACTGTATACCTCTTGTCTATGAGACCATAGAATAAGCCATAGAATAATAGGTGAGACCATAGACATATATTAGTAAACGTCGATGGGAGAGACAGAGGAGAGACCATAGGTTAGAGAGTCTGTTAATAATTCAACAATTAAAGAAGAAGAATTTTTTATTGTAGTAATGATTTAAAAAATTTAAATTTTTACGTTTAAGATTTTTTTCAAGTTAAAAGCATATATGTAAGGCCCGCAGAATGCCAACCATTAGTATTAAACGTGATGCCTTATTTGAAGCCCTTGGAAGAACGTACGGTAGGTTAAATGCACGTGCTGTTTTTGAGTATTTTTTTAAATTTTATTCGTATGTTACAGCTGACGATGAATTTCAGAAAATATGTTTCGAATTCGGTTTAGAATTGGATGAAGTTACAACCGAAAAACAAATGATTACTAAAGAACAAGGGGATAATGTAAAACTAGCAGCAGATGCTTCAGAAGAAATTATTTATCGAATTGATGTTCCTGCCAATAGATATGATTTACTTTGCTTGGAAGGCCTTGTTCAAGGACTTCTAATCTTTCAGAATAAGTAAACATTATTTAAGTGGGAGTGCTTTGTTTAAATTAAAATGTGTATTTTATTAGAAAACCTGTACCTAAATACGAAGCTATCAAGCCTGCCAGTGGGAAACTGCAAGAATTGATAGTTAAATCTGACACAAAATTAGTAAGACCTTATGCAGTTGCTGCAATATTAAGGAACATCAAGTTTACAAAGGCTATCTATGACAGTTTTATAGATTTACAAGATAAGTTGCATCAAAATATTTGTAGAAAAAGGTCATTAGTGGCCATTGGAACTCATGATTTAGATACTGTCGAAGGGCCATTCTTTTTTGATGCAAAACCCCCTAAAGACATTAAATTTATTCCATTAAATCAGGACAAGGAATTTGATGGAGAAGGAATAATGCAGTTATATGCTGTAAGTGGTTTTATTGTTCTCTTAAACACCCTTAAAGAAAAACATCTAAAGATTTTATTTGTAGAATCATGCGCAATTGAAACAGTATTTACCTATAATAAAAAACTTTCCTGTTTATCCAGTTATTTATGATAGTAATGGAATTGTTCTTTCATTGCCCCCTATTATTAATGGAAATCATTCAAAGATAACTTTACATACAAGGAATATTTTTATAGAGTGCACTGCAACAGATTTGACAAAGGTAAAAATTATAAACTACTATTAATTTTGCCAAGGATGTGAGGATTTCACATTTCAGGCAAAAATTGTATTAGACACATTGGTTTGCATGTTCAGTATATATTGTGAAAGTCCTTTTACTGTTGAATATTGTCAAGTTAAATATCCAGATGGAAAGTTGTACCTTTATCCTGAACTTCGCTATAGAGAGGAAACTGTTAGAGTCTCTAAAATTAATAATTTGATTGGTACAACGTAAGTTTTTTAAAAAAATGCTATTACAAAAATTATGTCTAACTAGAAATTTTATTTTCTAGAGTTAATGCAGATGATGCCGCAGCTTTGTTATCAAAAATGTGTTTAGAGTCAAAAGTGGTTAAAAATGGAAAAGAATTAAAAGTCACTGTTCCCCCTTTAAGACATGATGTTATTCATGCCTGTGATATTTATGAAGATGTTGCCATTGCTTATGGTTATAATAAAATTGAACGTAAAGTGCCCCCCACTATGACTATTGCTCAGCAATTTCCTCTCAACAAAGTATCTGATTTATTGAGGGAACCCATAGCTCAGGCAGGATTTACTGAAGCTTTAACTTTCTCATTGGTATAATTAAAGTCATACATACTATTTTTTGTTATAGTGTAATTTGTAGTGTTCACGAGATGATGTTTCGACGAAGCTGGGAAGAAAAATTGAAGAAATTCCAGCCGTTCATGTTTCAAACCCTAAAACATTAGAATTTCAGGTATGTCGAACATCTCTACTACCTGGGTTGTTGAAAACTTTAGCAGCAAATAAGAAGCTACGACTTCCAATTAAAATTTTTGAAATTTCAGATGTGGTTTTGAAAGATGTAAAAGCAGGTAATTTTTTTTAGATTAAATGAAATTAGGTAATAACTTTCTAAAATCCATGTTTATGTGTAGGTAATTAAAGAAATATTAGAATCCTAATCTAGTATTTCTTTAACTTTTACCTACAAAAATTTTGGAAAATGTTTCTAGTCTTTTTTATCCTAATACCTAAATATGTACTACCTACCTAGGTGATAATAATTATTCTGCTCTTTTTTAACAGAAGTAGGCGCTAGAAACGAACGAAGGATTTGCGCTGTAAATTGCAATAAAACGGCAGGTTTTGAAATAGTTCATGGTCTTCTTGACAGAATTATGCTTCTTTTGGGAGTAGAATGGAATCCTCATAAGACTAACACCGGATATTACCTTCGAGAAAGTAATGGTATGCCAACAAACTTTAGTGAGACAATTACTTCTTTATCTTTGCACTATGCAGTATGTTTCATTAATAAACACTAATTTCAATAGTGTAAAGCTTGTTAGGCTTTATATATTTCAGGTATCAAATTATATTGTTTTCCCACTTTTGTTGAAAAGTAAATGTTACAGTTTTTTGGTAGAAATTTCTGTAATGTAAGCGATCATAATCTGTGACTTTAAATTTTGACATATTGTGTTACTTATTAAAAATTCAGCACAATAAGCATATTTTCCTGTTTTGATGTAGATCCAGCATATTTTCCACGTCGATGTGCTGAAGTGGTATACAATGGAAGCGTTATTGGCAAGATAGGAGTGCTACACCCTGAGGTTCTCAACAGATTTGAACTAACTAATCCGGTGTCTGTTGTAGAAATAAATATTGAACCTTTTGTGTAATACACTAATTATGTATTAATGGAACGTTCATGTCATTTGATTATAATTCACTAAAATACTGAGTGGTTTATTTTATATTAAATTTGAAAAGAGTATTATGTACATTGCAATAAAAAAGGTTTAAAATATATGATTAAAAACAATTTTTTTTGTTTGAAGTAAAAATAAAAGCAAGAGAAGACTTACCCTTAATTCACCACGACAATTTTAAGAAACCACTGATACGTTGTGCTCACGTACTCAGTCCAGACCAATCTTGCGTTAAGAATGCTCACAAGGCAAGTAAGCGAAAAATGTGTCAGTGGTTTCTTAAAATTGTCGTGGTGAATTACGGTTTTCGAGTACGATGTTAAATAGGTACATTGCGACAATATTTCTTGATAAAGTTCATAAATTAATTCAGACATAAAAAGGCGCTCGTGAAATGGCTGCGAGATGGAAGGTATTTACTAAGTTCTGAGAAGTGATAAGTATGTAAAAAAGTATATAGAATTTCATCCTGCCAACGGTCTTCGAGTACGCTGTTAAATAGGTAGATTGCGGCATTAGTCGTTGAAATATGTAAAATAATTCAAACATAAAAAGACGCTCGCGAAATAACTCCGAGATGGAAGGTGTTTACTATGTTTTGAAATATCATAAATATGTAAAAAAGTACGTAGAATCTCATCTTGCCGACGGCTTTCGAGTACGGTGTCAAATAGGTAGATTGCGGCATTAGTCTTTGTTAAAATATGTAAAATAATTCAAACATAAAAAGACGCTCGCGAAATAACTGCGAGATGGAAGCTACTTACTAAGTTTTGAGAAGTGATAAGTATGTAAAAAAGTAAGTAGAATCTCATCCTGCAAACGGCTTTCGAGTACGGTGTCAAATAGGTAGATTGCGGCATCAGTTTTTGCTGAAATATGTAAAATATTTCAAACATAAAAAGGCGCTCGCGAAATAACTCCGAGATGGAAGGTGTTTACCATGTTTTGAAATATCATAAATATGTAAAAGAGTACGTAAAATCTTATCCTGTCAACGGTTTTCGAGTACGGTGTCAAATAGGTAGATTGCGACATCAGTTTTTGCTGAAATATGTAAAATAATTCAAACATAAAAAGGCGCTCGCGAAATAACTCCGAGATGGAAGGTGTTTACCATGTTTTGAAATATCATAAGTATGTAAAAGAGTACGTAAAATCTTATCCTGTCAACGGTTTTCGAGTACGGTGTCAAATAGGTAGATTGCGACATCAGTTTTTGCTGAAATATGTAAAATAATTCAAACATAAAAAGGCGCTCGCGAAATAACTCCGAGATGGAAGGTGTTTACCATGTTTTGAAATATCATAAATATGTAAAAA